TACGTACCTGCGGGTGGGCAGCGGGTAGGGCTCTCCCCGCCGTTCCGCCCGCGGGTACATACTCCTGGGCAAAATAATCCCTTCGGGGATTTTCTTCTCCAAACACAAATTCAAGTCCAAAACATGGCAAATCTCACCAAACACGACAAAATGACTTGAACCATGGAAAATGCCAAGCAATGGCACAAAGGAACCCTAAACACAAGCTCTAGATATGCAATATCACAAGACAAATGCATAAACCCTCACATTTCATAGCAAAACACAAGTAGAATCCAAGAAATCATATATAGGTAAGCAAAATAGGTTTTGTAGAGCATGGGTTACCTCTTGAAGACCAAAAGACTTCACTTTACACCACAACAAGCTCTCTACAAGGCTTACTTTCCAAACCCACTTCAAGATTAAACCAAAAGATCATAAAGATCCTACCTTTAAGAAAAAGACAACTAAGATGGAACCCAAAACACAAGATGAACCTAGATCTTACCCTCCTAGATGCCCAAATAGGTAAAAGGTTGAATCTTGGAAGCAAATCTTGGAATCTTGACAAGGGTCTCAACTTGGCTTGGAGAATAAGCTACACTTCTTTTCTAGAGAGAAGGTAGAACTATTTTTCTAGGAATTGTAAGGAATGAAATGAAGAAGTCTTCTAGGTTAGGTTACAATACTAACTCTTGGTGAATAGACAAGAATACCCTTACTAACCTTTAGAAAGTGTAAGGAACAAGGGAACTCCCCTCAAAGCACAAGGTACAACACAACTTAAAGGTTGACTAGTCAAATTCTAGTCCTTGAGTATTAAAAATCAGGATTTTAGGAATTAATTCCTCAAATAAAAATATGATTAATTACTCAATTAATCCATGGATTGAATGTATATTTTTGGGGTGTCACATACACCATGGACTATTGGTTGCATCAGGGATCTCATTATGCTGATCGTGCTTCTCTGCTCTCTGACACAGCTCATGCTCCTGCTCCAGCTCCTACACAAACTGCCTCCGGTTCCTCATCTACCAGACCTGAGTCTGTACCAGCATCTTCTCCAGCTACTCCTCCGGAACTTATAGCTCTTTGACAGCAAGCTGCATACTACAAGGCAGTATCCACCTCACTGAAGCAGAATATTTCCTCTCTACAGGCCATTGTTGCTGACATTGAAGACAAGCTTTCATATACTCTTAACCAAGTTTCTGCACTGGAAGACGACATCGCAACTCGCTTTTCTGCTCAAGAGGACCCTGATGACATGGGCACTCTATCAAATAGCTCAAGCCACTACATGATTCATTGTCCCCTTGGCATTTAGTATGACAAAACGGGGGAGTACTCTTGAGGGTGAGTTCTTTATGTTTTGATTGGTTGTTTGGTCTGGTTGGTTGGATTGACTGCACAGACTTGAACTGGTTTTTGGTAATAATGTGTGCTTTGTGTTTGCTCAGTGCAATGTGATAAACTGATCATTTCTGTTATTATGTATGTTAATTGCTTGGTACTTGTTGACTTGTCCAATGTGTGTTCAATGTGTGTTTGATTCTTGAAAGTGATTACGTATACCTTATGTCACTTTGCCTAGCCAGTTCGTGTGGCAGTTAGGTTGGAGGATGTTGTTTGGTTTGGTAAAGGTTGTTTAGTGGAGCTGCATCCGTACCTGATCCAGACAGAGTCTTAAATTGTAAACAAGTATACTCCGACTGGTAAATAAAGATTCTTGATTTCAGGCCTTAGAGTATATTTGTAAAGACTGTGTTTTGTCAACTAATTGCCAAAGGGGGAGATTGAAAGTGTAAGCAAATGTTGCACACTAGACCCTTTATGTTGGCTTAATTAGTTGTCAAAACTATATTGTTTTTATTCTGGATCAGGGACAAAATGTGCTCTAGGTTTTCAAGGTTTACTACTTCAACAGTTGTTTTTGTCAAGACCATATAATCTTGTGGATCTAGATCGTGTGGTGCTGAGCTCTTGAGGATTGGACAACAGCACAAATTCAGACATGAAGGTCTCATTTCTCACCTCTATAAAATGCTACTTTGCATAATGACTCAATGTGGATTTTACAAGGATTCGAACTACAACTCCAAACACCTAGTCCTCCACAACTATACTCGTTTCCTATTCGAGTGTTGAAGACACCCAAAAAGAAGAATGGAGATGGCTTGCACAATCAGTCTGTGTAGATGACAATAGGGTTGGTAAGGATAGTGTAGTGAATACCTTTGTGTGTATTGAAATCTCCCTTGTACTCCTTTTGATCATCTAGTGGATTGGGCTGACGTGAGTGGCCCCGCAAATATAGGAGTGAGACTCCAAACTGCGTGAACACATCCTGGTGTCTGGTTCCTTCTTTAATTCTTTTTGTTGTTCGTTTTAGTTACTGGCTTAAAACCTTACTCAAATCCAGATTAACCACCTAATATAACACTTAGTAGGAACCTTAGTAAAAAGTCTTGCATTCAAGTACCACAAGGTTTTTCACCATCAATACATGGTAGACTAAAGCAAGATTCCTTTAATAGCCTAATCGCAAGAGTCCAAGCCAGACTTGCAGGATGGAAGATGAAGACATTGTCATTAGCTGGCAGGTAGGTCCTTATTCAATGTGTCTTGTTCGCCATAACAAATTATACAATGCAAACAACACTACTCCCATATGGAGTAACCTCGTTCTTAGAGAAGCTTTCACGCAATTTCTTTGGGAAGTAACAGTGGGAGAAAGGAAATGAAATCTTGTAGCTTGGGATATAGTCGCGAGGAACAAAGACGAGGGAGGGCTCGACATTCGAAATCTGGAACGCATGAACCAAACACTCCTCGCCAAGCGTGGTTGGAGGCTAATGAAGAATGAGGATATCCTATGGGTGGAAATAATGAAATCTAAGTACCTAAAGGGAAATGGCGAGCCATCCACTTGGCCACCAAAGTCCGATATGTCGAATGCCAAGAAGGGTATCCTTAAAACTGTCCCATACTAATGATGGCATGAGAAGAATGGTCAAGAATGGTAGAAAGATGTTTTTTCTGGATGGACTCTTGGGTCGGTCTACAGTAGTTCTATGTAATGAGGAAATTCTTGAAGATGATATCAGATGGGGCAGCAATAGAACAGGTTCCTTCTCGGTCAGCTCAGCTTATGCGATTACGTCTAGCTCACTATCCAATCCGAGTGACAAAACTTGGAGCAACATATGGAAGCTTAAAATCCCACATAGGATTTGCAGTTTTCTGTGGTTGGCAAGGCACTATAGGCTTATGACTAATGCGAACAGATTAAGGCGTGGATTCACATATAGCGCCACTTGTGAGGTTTGCGGAGGGAGCGTTAAGGACATTGACCACATATTACGGAAATTCTCTGAAGCAAATGTTGTGTGGGAAAATCTATTGCCTAATGTACATGCAAGGTACCAAAACCAACCATACATGAGCTGGTTTGATGCAGGGATCAAGGGGTTCGATAATGGTATCTGAAAACAAGAACAAAGCATCATGTTCGCGGTCACAACATGGTGGCTGTGGAGATGGAGGAATGAGGGGATATTCTCTAACTCGAATACCAATCTTGGAGCTAGGATTCAGTGGATAAAAGGTCAAGTCAGAGCTAAAACTCGATGGCAATCCCAGATGATAGAATTTAGATGCAGATCAGATGGCTCAAACCTCCAAAGGATTGGGTGAAAATAAATATAGATGGAAGTTCAAATTTAGATAATGGAAGAGCTGGTTGTGGCGTCATTGCCAAAGCTGAAAATGTCAGCTGGTTAGGGGGGTTTCATGCACCACATTGGTACCTGTCTTGATGCTGGAGCTGAAGCATGGGCACTGTTAAAGGCGATCCAATTTTCACAATCACTGAAATGCAGGCATGTTATACTTGAAAGAGATTCGAGGGAAGTGATTGAAGGCATCAATGACGGCAGGATGGTCGATAGTCTAACAGATAATCTGATTGTTTCATGCAAGCTCGGGCTTTCGTCCCTTGAAGGTTGGAGAACTGAATGCGTAGCTTGTGAACAGAATAGACCAGCAGACATATTAGCACGTAAAGCAGGCGAACTTGGGAGAGGAACATACATCTTGTCGCGACCCATAATAGAAATTGAGGAAGCGCTTGAAGACGACGTACTTGGTGTTCTAGCTTGGCGAAAATGGAAGCATTAAATTAGTATCCCCCCTGGGTATCCTCTAGGGATGGCAATGGGGCGGGGTGGGTGCGGGGGATATATCCCCCGCCCCCGCACCCGCATTCCCACCCTATTCCCCGCACCCGCACCCCCACACCCGCGCAGGTAATAAAATTCTTACCCCATACCCGCCCCCGCGGGGATTTTTTGGGTGCGGGTATTACCCAACCCGCAACTTTAATTATTAATATTACACTTAAATAATCTAATAAAAATTTTATACTACAATTTTAATTATCACATGGATATTTTTTTATAAGTTTGAATATAACTCTAAAATTTAATAAGAGCCAATAAGTTTGTGCTTAATTGAAACTAAAATTGTTTTGGTAGTATAAATTGTATTAAGTGTTTACTCATTATGTTATTTGTGTTGTTCCTAATCAATTTTCATAAACAAAAAGCTAAGACAATGAGATGATAATTCAATTGAATCCCCGAGGCACTAGCCCATAAAGAAGTTTAATTCATTATGCATTTTTTATTATAAACTTATATAATAAATGAATACTAATAATACAAGTATGTATATATATATATATATATATATATATATATACATATATATAAAAGTGTGGGTGTGGGTGTGGGGCGGGGATACCTACCCCCGCACCCGCACCCATACCCATGCGGGTATACAAAATCTCCTCCATACCCGCACCCATTACCCAAATTGTGCGGGTTTTTTAAAACCCGTAGGGGCAGGGATGTGGGGAACCCATTGGGTGCGGGTAGAATTGCCATCCCTAGTATCCTCATTCCAATTGATCCAAAAAATAAATAATAATGTAGAAGCAAATTAAATGTACTTACGAAGATATCCAAAAAAAAATCGCCCTCTCTTTCTTCCAAAGCCATATCAAATGGAGTTTGTTGGTGTTTATTAAACACCAAATGCTTCCGTGTATGACGCTTTATAGCCCTCTGTATATGGTGGCAATCAGAAATGGCAAGCAGGTGTAGTGGTGTGTTGCCATTCTCGTCCTTCTCATCAATAAGGTTGTCGATGTGGGGAGATCTCAATACATAGTTAATCACATTCACCCTCTTGGTCAGTACTGCTTCATGAAATACATTCTGCAATTTGCTATTAGTCATCTCCCAACAATCTGGGCAGCTTTCTGATATCTTTTTCATCATTTTAATGTTGCCCACCCTAACTGCAATGTGAAATATTGTTGTCCATTCATTACCATTGCCCGCGCGAACATACGCTGCAGAGCGGTTTCCCTCAAGAATCATGGTTGCAGTTCCACCATCACAGAGGTTTATAGCGCAGTGTAGTGGCGTTAAACCAAAATCGTCAGTCTCCTGGCACAAAGAGATCTCCTTTTGCAATAGTAATTTTGTACATTCCGAGATATATACTGATACAATATAAACATTATGAGTAACGGCCCACAAGAACTAGAAACAAAAAAATAGAATGCTAATAGGATAACTTCAATTATTATAAGCAAAAACTTGTGTGAGACCGCTTCACAGATCCTGATCTGTGAGGTAAGTTAGGTCGAGATTAAAATGTAATACTAATCAGGAATAAATTGTTTATTTCTTATATGAAAAAATGTAATAGTTTTGATGAATTGAAAAATGTAATACTTTTACATTTTGATTTAAAAGTATTACATTTTTCATAAAAAAATATTATATTTTCCCTTATAAGTAACAAACACTTTCAAACATTACTTAAAAGGGAAAGTGTAATAATTTTAATGAAAAATGTAATACTTTTGCATTTTCTCTCAAACGTATTACACATTCCCTTATAAGTAACAACCACTTTGTTCACAATAAGTATTACATTTTTCAGTATAAGTATTACATTTTCATATTGATCTGACCCGACCCGTCTCACGAATAAGGACCTGTGAAACGGTCTCACACAAGTGTGGCCCATTATTATAACTACTTAGGCTCTTATTAGCATTACTAGCTTAAAGCTGAAAGTGTAAAAGCTAGTAGCTGCTAGCTTATTTTGAAACGCTACTTAATTAGGTTATATTTTAGAGCTAATAATTCATTTTAAGCTACAAATAAGATATGTCTCTATTTGGTAGAGCTTTTTTTTAGCACTTATAGCTTATTTTGAATCGCTTCTCCAAGTAGCATTTCAAAATAAGCTATAAGCTTTTAACATTTTCTTCTTTTTGTATCCTTATTAATTTACAAAAATGACACCATTTACCATTCTTTAATGAAAACCCTAATATCTAATTTTTTCAAATATCTAATTTTTTTTTTCATAATATCTAATTTTTTTTCTAAAACCTCTTCTCATCTCAATTCTTTACCATGTATTTTTCCTAAACATTCTTCTCTTCCCAGTTCTTTGTTGTACGTGTTCATCAATGTGAGAGACAAACACTCATCACCCTTATTGGCTTCCCCCCCCCCCCCACCCCCCCACCTAAAATTAGCTTCAAAAAACAAAATTCTACACAAACTGCTTTTGTACAAACAATAGGAAGAATCTTTCTTTGAATTATTGTATCCCTTGTGCACTATTTCATCTCCTTCAACCAACGCCGCCTGCAACAACCCTCCTTTGCCGTTGCATCTTCCTCGCCACACTATCGTTCACAGCTCGGAGAGAATCGCATATCATCTACAGCAACTGAACGACGGTTGCGCTTCCTTTTTCTTTCTCCTCCCATTGAATGGTGGTTTCGTGGACCAAGTTGCCTCGGCAGTTTGGTGGAAGCAGCGACTCCATCCTGCCCCGCAAGTTCACCGTGCAGGATATCCTATGTGGGTTCATAGTTCGACTTGCAATTATAATAAGTGCTAATTGTTAGTAATTTTATGTGCATAATTGATATCAAACTCGTATGATTTCATGTTAATTGGAAGCTAAGTATGTGTTTATTAGATTCCTTTATATCATTTAGGTGATTTGGTAGAATTGGTTGTAATATCATGTATATTGGAGATTAATTGGATGTGTTTTGAAGTCATCATGACACAAAGGCATGTTCCGGGAGTCATGAAATGTCAAGAAAGTGAAAAAGGGCGGGTTGGAAGTATCATAACATGACCCGGGGACCCAAAGGAACAAAGGAGATGACGAAATATGCATTTTGGAGTGAAAATCAAGGCTCACGCTAGTGGTCACGCCGTGACTACCAGCGTGACTCCATTCTGCTTTGCATTTTTCTCTGTCGGGCGACGTTTTAGTATTTTGAGCATATCTCGGGCTAGGAGTGTCCAAATGAGGTGGTTCAAGTGGAATTCGAATGAAAACTCAAAGGGTTACAACTTTCATGAAGACCACAAAGGCTAGTTCGGACGTCTACAAGATAACAAATCGCCTAGAAACCATAATTGCTTCCCAGAGTGGTTGGTTACGGTCAAGGACATGACGTGAACTCGACTGTGTGCTCTAGAACCATCGAACTATGCTAAAAAGTCACGATGGAACTCACACTGTGAGCCCTATCGTGACCACGAGCCTAGAATCCTTTGGAAACTGTATATTTAGTGAGATGGAGGAGGGGGGTATAAATAGCCCTAGGCAGTTATTTTTGGAGAACTTTTCAATCTCTACTCTCCCACTTCTCTACACATTTCATTTGTGTAATCAATACAACTTTGAAGAATATTTGAAGAACATTTTCCATATTTCATATATGAATTTCCAATTTAATCTTTGGAAGTTATCAATCCAAGCTAAGTCTTTCTTGTTTCTTTTGCATTTTCTTTTTTCCAATTGTGATTGCAATGTCTCTTGTTTCAATTGATGCTTTCATTTATATTCGTAAGATGAATAGCTAGATTCAATTAGGGATTAGATTAAGTCATCTTTTGTGACTGATGCTATGTGATTAAATTGAGCTATGAGCTAGAGTAATGACTTGATGATGGCTCTAGTTGTGAGCTTGGTGGTTTGCATTGACCCTTATATGATTGTGCCAAATTGTGTAAGAGGTGCTTGGAAAAGGTATTGTCACTATGAGATAGAGCAATACCATAGCCACACCTCTCACTAATCCAACTCACCTTTAAGAAAAGAGGGTTGGAAGGAGATGCGAACATTGTATCACATGTTTGATAAAATGCTTCAATGACCTTGAGTCACCATGAGAGTCACGACCACAAGAGTGGCGTTGGCACCTAGTAGCATCTCCCTAGTTCCCTTGTCAATACATTACATGAGCTCTAACCAATGATACACTACATCATCTACACTTGAGTGACCTAGTCCAAACCCTTAGTTTTATTATTGACTGTTAATTGTTTCTTGATCTTTCACTACAATTTGATTGTCATTTCCGTTATTTCTCTCTTATCACATGAATCAAATTTACTCCTTTGAACTAGCTTCCAAACACTCTACACTCTTGTGATTAACCGCCTACTATTCAACCCCCTTCCGGTCCACTCCTTGAGACAATATCCGATGTGAGGATGCCCTCTCACACACACTTCATTCCACCACCACTTTAACATAACTTTCAAATGGCGCTTTTACCGGGGAGTGGCGTAGGTGTTGAATATATAGTTTGTCCATTCTGGTTTATATGAGTAGGTGTCCAAGTTAGGGAGTCTAGTTCACCATTTTTACATTGTGTTTGTGTCTTTTGTTTATTTCCACCTATTTTTTTGTTTGTTTCGTTGTCTTGTTGTGTTGTTTCATTTGTTGTTTTGTTCTACTTGAAATTTCCATTACACTAGTAGCTCACTTGCAACTACTTCTAGTTGCAAAAGTACAAAACACTATCTTGTCTTGGTGTTTGCAGGTTGATCTTCTATGACGTATTCTCAAGCGAGATTTCAACAAGAGGACTACTATGAGGACCAAGGAGGATGTATGCCACCAAAGGGAGACTATAATGCTCAAATTTCTAACCCCTATGGTTATGGAGATGATGAGGACTATAGGGCACACTCTCAAGGAAGATATGCATATTATGACCCACCGAAGAGCTACTAAGAGTCTTATTATGGTCATGATTATGAGCATTCAAGGAGGGCCCAACCTGTGACACCCCATAAATCCAAACACTAATCAAGGATTAATTAAAGAATTAATCCAAGTCTCTTTGATAATCTATTCCTAAAAATCCTGAAATTTAATAGTCGAGGGACTAGATTTGACTAGTCACTTAAGTCAAAGGGTTGTACCTTGTGCTTCTTGAGTTGTGCCCTTGTTCCCTTGTCTTTCCAACATTAGTAAGGGTAGGAATGTCTTTCTACCTAAGGTTTGTGATTCAAGCTAACCTAGCAATATTCTTTCATTTCATTCACCCTTTAATCTAAAACACAAAAACCTCTAGCCTCTCTCTAAAATGGTTTAGCTTCTTCTCCAAGCTAGAATTTGAGCATCCAAGTCTTGCAAGATTGCCTCCCAAGATTCCTACTTTCTTCATCTTGAGCATATGGGAGGGTAAGATCCTTGGTCTTTTGGTGTTTTTAACCTTCTTTTATGTGCCTTTTTCTAAAGATAGGATCTTTGTTGTGTTTTGGTTTATGTATGAAGTTAGTGTGGAAGAGGAGTTCTATGAAAGGCTTTTAAGGGTGAAAAGAGGAAATTATTAGGCTACAAAGGTAACCCATGCTTTACAAAACCTATTTTCTTACTTATATGATGATTTCTTGACTTCTACTTGTGATTCTTGTGATGATTTGTGAGATTTGATGCATTGTCTTGTGGTGATGCATGTTTAGAGCTTGTTCTTAGGGTTCTTGAATGCCATTGCTTGGCTATTTCTTGGGTTCAAGTCATATTGTTGTTGAGTGTGAGATTTTGGGTGTTTTGGACTTGAATTTGGACTTGTTGTTGAAAATCCCCGAAGGGATTATTGTGTACAGGAGGTGGTACCCGCGGGCCGGACGGCGGGCAGAGGACTACCCGCCGCCCCACCCGCGGGGAACGTGGTCGTTCGGGTGTATGTACCCACGAGTGGAGGTCCACCCGTGGCCCCACCCGCGGGGAACGTTGTTGGTTGTTTGCGGGGATTTGTTCCCCGTGATTCTTTTGTCTCGGTATTGATGTTTTGACCTCCCGATGTTGTTTTATTGGGCTATTTGTGAGTCTTCTTGATGTTTCGTATATCTAGAACTGTATGTTAAGAATCCGTGTAGGATTTGGTGTCTTGAATCGTGCTAAGGGTCGAACTTTGTGACTCGTTGGGCTAATGTGAGTCTTGAACGTTCTTTGGAACTAATTTTGGTTTACCCGTTTGATAAGCAGGCTAGTTTGATGTTGATATGCTAGTATGTGTGGTTTGTACCTTCGTATCGAGATTGCCAATTTGTGTTGACAATCATTTGGTGTTGGATTGGAATCCTTTGTTGATTGAGTATGGGCTCATGTCTTTATTGTGATCTCTTGATTGATTCCTATGATATGGTCGTATGTAATTCGTTGTACCTTTGTTGATACTTGATTAAGACTATTGTTGATTCTTAGTCTTCTTGGTAATGATGATGACCTTGTGTGTGATTATGATTGAGATTGGTGGTTGGTTACTTGAGCTTTGCTCACGAGTTTGGCGGTTTTGTGATTGTGAAGTTAATGGTACCCTCGTGTACTGAGAGTTCGGCGGTAATGTGGGTGGTTGTAAGTGGGGGGACGACGGTCCCCGGAGGCAAAAGGTTGGACCCAGAAGTACAGGGGTTACTTGGAGGTAATGGTTGGAGCTGAAATAAGGCCAGGGGTAGCCATAAGGTTGGAACAGGGCATAAAGTTGGAACTATGATACTTGTGACATGTAGTTGTCACTGTGGCATGTAGTTGGCCACTTGTGAATGTGAACTCTTTGCTTATGAGCATGTCTTGATGTATTCTACTTTGTGATCAGTTGAATGCATCCTGAGTTGTTTGTCTTTCATGTTGTTGTCTTGTCGTTGTTGGGAGGATGGTAATTCCCATTTCTTTTGAGAGTGTTTGATGAGTCTTTGAAGTTGACTTCTCTCCATGGTTTTGAAATGATATGTACTGTATTCCGTTTCAAAATGGTTTTGATTATACTTATCTATATATGTTATTTAACGCGTATTGATGGGTTACCAGCAATATTCGCTGACCGGGTGTTATCCCCATGTTTATTCCCTTGTTCTATAGGTTTTGAGTAGATGACTGAGAGTGCTAGACGTGGATCGCTAGATAATTTAGCTGTCCTGTGTAGACGTTATCTTTTGTTGGCCTGTGAGCCTAGTTTAGCGGCCTGTGTGCCTATATACTTTATGTTTTGTTGAATTGATAGTTTTTCCCGCCTGTGCACCTATGTCTGAGATAGGTGTGGCATAACACGTCACGATTTTATATAGCTTCCGTTTGCTTTATGTCTTGATGATTAGATGTTTTCTTGTGCATTTGAGTTTTAAAAATGTAGTAAAAATCGGGGGTGTTACACAACCACTAAGGAGAGATCTATCCTATGATCATTCAAGGGACTACCAAGCACCTAAGTACTACCAGAATGATTATGAGGAGAGATATCATAATCAAAAGGACTACTGTTGTGCATTTTGGATATCTAGTATGTATGAGGCTGTGAAACCATTGGAGTTGTGCATTGCAGTTTACAACTATTGTGCAGTGGTGCACTCAGCTTTGTGCATTTTACGTTTCGTGTCGTGAAATGTAGTCTGGTCGGACTTATTTGGATTACACTGTTTGAATTCTGTACCTGCGTTGGATTAGGAGTAAATACCTAGTTTGGTGGTGCATGCATTTTTTTATGGAAAAAACCTGTATGGACCATCTCACGGGTCGGATCTTTGATTAATGAGGTCAAATATCTTACCCATTAATCAAAGATTCGACTTGTCTCATGGATTGAGACCCGTGGGACAAACTCACAAGTGTTACCCTTTTTGATGAACTAATTTGCCCTTTTGGCTAATTATGGAGATTTTATAGGTTTAAAATCAAGGACATTTTCTGAAAAAAAAAATTAGGTAGATAATCTGAGTTATAGACTTCGAAATATAAATAGCTTAGATTTGTCCACTGTTCTCACGTACGAACTAGTTCTCATGTGAATCAAACCCTATATATATATATATATATATATATATATATATATATATATATATATATATATATAAGAGGGTTCATGTGAGAACAGACATTTAGGTGAAAAGTGAGAATTGATATGATCCATCCATTTGGCTAGATCAACAATTGAGGATTGCTAAAAAAAAAAATAAAGAGAAAAGTGACGAGGTTAGTTTTATAAATATTGAAAATTTAAAAGTTTGCAATAATGATAAAATTGACCCCATGTTTTATTTTTCTAAAATCCTCCATCTTTGATGAACTTTGATGGACAGTTGTGATCACTTTTTATAGTGTAGTTGTTCTCATAACCTACACACACATTGAAGGGTAATTTTATTTTTAAAATAATTATTACATTTTTATCCCTTAATCTAACCAAACACTATAATATAATTTCTAAAGATTATTCTTTCTCATATTTTTTCCCTACAGAATAGGATTCCTATTATATCAAAATTCATTTTGTAAACTAAGAGGGTATTGGGTACTTTCCCATCAATTAAATTTATGGAAAAAAATATTTTCAAGGAATGTATTTGATGGGAATAACTTTGCAAAGAAAATTAGTTAACATATTTGATGTTACACTAGAAACATAAGAATCAAATTACCTGAAAATTTAATTCAAATGCTTGGTTCATTTAAGCTTCCCTATGAACTTTTATTGGGAAAGTCTTGGCTCAACCACCCAAGTGGGGTGTCCATCTTTATGGGTGAGGTGTTGGCACAATAAGAATAATGGAAATCTATTGGGCTAAAGAAAGAAGGAAGCTTGGAACAAAATATTATAAAAGGTGTTACCAAGGGGTATTAAACACACAACCTCCCACTTGACAACACAAGCCCTAACTACCCAAGCCACTCAAGATCTTATGTACAAAAGGGTAGGAAGCTCCACTTATGCATGTAAGTGTGTTAGAAGCAAAGTAATGGGGGGGACACGTGTGTAGCCAGAATGAAGGTTGCTCGATGCCATCCATTTGACAACCATCTATGAGTTCATCAACAATATAAATAGGGTGTCTTCCCTCCCCTTAAAAACCATCGATCCCTTGGTTCACGACCTCCCTTTTGGCTGAGTGGTCTGAGTCTGCTCTCTCTTGCCAGCACTTTCTATTTCATTATTAGGGCTATAGCATTTATTATTTATGTATTCTTTGGGCTGCCATTTTGGGCCAGTATCTCGGGCTTTGTATGCACTCTTTTGAGCCTAGCGCCCCGAGCAATAATACTACTATTTTCCTACCCCCCCCCCCCTCTCCCATTTTGTACCTATATACCCATTTTATGGTGGACCCGGTTTCAACAAAACCATCATATACAAAAATTAAAAAGAAAAACATAACAAATAATTGATCTGAGAGTTTAATAAATCAATTGTAAATTAATAAGTAATATGTCAAAAAAATCCAATCTAAAATAAGAAATTTTTTTTTTGTTTTTTTTTTTTCTAAGTGAAATGTAGAATATTAAAAAAAAAAAAAAAAAAAGTACGTATGTAAAAAAACCAAAAAAAAATAATTGAGAGATATGCATTTCTTGTATAAATAGTGTTGTTATCCTTCGCAATGGTGGGAGAGACAAAGTTCTTATATTTTATTATTTATTAGTGAATTTGAATATGGTGCAAAAAAAAAAAAGATAAATATGTTATTAAATAAATTTGGTAGGATTCATTATCAATAAATTAAATAACAGAAATAAGCAACCGTCTCTCTCTACCTTGTTCTAGGGTTTCTCCCCTCTTAGGGTTTGCCTAGGGTTTATTAATCATTTCTTGATTTTCTTCCGGTTATTCACCAGTGCTTATATGTTCGACTGCTTAGTCTTTACCCTTGACGACGTCTGCATGGCTTCATCTACAACAAGCGATGGGGGCGTAGCAGGTTTGACGGCTCGTTGGACGTATTTGGTTTCGGAGGAGGAAGCTCTCGTGTTTGAACCGTCGGAGGAGGTGGTTGGTGGTGTTCAGGAATGGGAAGAGGAGACCTGGGTGGCTGTTGGCCGGTTCTTGACTGACAAGAGGGTGAAAGTGGAATACATGCATCAGGTTATGCCTTCAGTTTGGTGCCCTGTTAGGGGAGTCCAGATATATGAGGTCCAGCTGAATCTTTTCACGTTCGTCTTCTACCATAAAACATATATGCAGTACATGTTGGAGGAGGGCCCGTGGTCTTTTGAGAGTAGTACGTTGGTGTGCAGATAGGTCACCGACGGCGTCCTTCCGGCTGATGTGGTTCTCAATTCTGTCGACCATTGGGTGCAGCTTCACGACTTATCGCTTGGCTACACCTCAGACATGATTTCGGAACAAATCAGAAACTTCATCAAGTGTGACAAAAGATTCACTGGTGCACCGTGGCAGTCGTTTTATCGTGTTCGTGTCTCTATCCCTTTAGCACGGCCGATTAAACGTCACATGAAGCTTGTTAAATGGGATAAGTCTAGCTGCTGGGTGAACGTTAAGTATGAGAGGTTTCACACCTTTTGCTTCTACTGCGGTTTGTTGGGGCATGCATATAAGTTTTATCTTAAGGCGATGGATGCTTCTATTCCAGTCGATCAACATTCGTTTGGAGATGACCTCAGTGTAGGTG